GGGATGTGTCTCTATTGGGATGTGTCCCTGTTGGGATGTGTCCTGTTGGGATGTGTCCCTGTTGGGATGTGTCCTGTTGGGATGTGTCCTGTTGGGATGTGTCTCTATTGGGATGTGTCCTGTTGGGATGTGTCCCTGTTGGGATGTGTCCTGTTGGGATGTGTCTCTATTGGGATGTGTCTCTATTGGGATGTGTCCCTGTTGGGATGTGTCCTGTTGGGATGTGTCCCTGTTGGGATGTGTCCTGTTGGGATGTGTCTCTATTGGGATGTGTCCTGTTGGGATGTGTCTCTATTGGGATGTGTCTCTATTGGGATGTGTCCCTGTTGGGATGTGTCTCTATTGGGATGTGTCCCTGTTGGGATGTGTCCTGTTGGGATGTGTCTCTATTGGGATGTGTCTCTATTGGGATGTGTCCTGTTGGGATGTGTCTCTATTGGGATGTGTCTCTATTGGGATGTGTCCTGTTGGGATGTGTCTCTATTGGGATGTGTCTCTATTGGGATGTGTCCTGTTGGGATGTGTCTCTATTGGGATGTGTCTCTATTGGGATGTGTCCTGTTGGGATGTGTCTCTATTGGGATGTGTCCTGTTGGGATGTGTCCCTGTTGGGATGTGTCTCTATTGGGATGTGTCCCTGTTGGGATGTGTCCTGTTGGGATGTGTCCCTGTTGGGATGTGTCCTGTTGGGATGTGTCCTGTTGGGATGTGTCTCTATTGGGATGTGTCCTGTTGGGATGTGTCCCTATTGGGATGTGTCCTGTTGGGATGTGTCCTGTTGGGATGTGTCCATCAGGAACTGCAGTGTGGGACAAAGGGGAATGGTCTTAGACTGAAAGAGGGGGAATTTTGGTTGGAGAGATGGAGAAATCCTTCCCTGTGGGGGTGGGGGATCCCTGGCACAGGTTATTCCACGGATGCCCCATCCCTGGGATTGTCCCAGGCCAGGATGGAGCAACCTGGGATAGTGGAAGGTGTTCGTGCCCCTGGCAGGGGGTGGCATTGGATGAGCTCTAAGGTCCCTTCCAACCCAAACCATTCCCTGATTCCAAGGTCTGTTCCCATCCAGGGTCCCATTCCATGGTTTTTGTCACACCAGTGAGTAAGAAAAATCCCTGGGAATCACGGAGTCATGGAATGGTTTGGGAGGGACCAGGGGCAGGGCCACCTTCCACTCTCCCAGGCTGCTCCAACCTGGCCTGGGACACTTTCCCGGGATTTTGGCCTGGTTTTCCCCAAGGAAAATCCGCAGGAAGCACATCTGGGGGTCTCTGCTGGCACAGCCTCCCATCGAGGAGGGATTGAACCAGCAGGGAATTTGGCTGGAGGCATTCCCAGGAGGACAGAAACCAAAACCAAAGGATCTCCCTCAACCTGTGTCACCAGCTTGGAACCCCTGGGGACAGAATTCCTTCTCCCAAATTCAGTGGGAATTTAGGGATGGGAGTTTCCTAAATCAAGCTCAGGGTTTTACTCCACTGCTTGGAACAGCAAAAGAACAGAAAACAGGAAGAACTAAAGGAAAACAACGTGGCACTAACAAGGCAGCTCTGAAATATCTTCCCACTCCTCGTCCTGCTCTCTGACACAACCAGCTCAGACGTTTTTTGGGCCAAATGATCCACCTGAAATCAGAAAATAAAGTTTTCTGCCCGTTAAATGAAGCTTTCTGGGTCCAATCAAGCTGTTAACTGTTTAACAGCACTCCAGGGAACACTTCAAGAGCTTCCTGAAACCTGAAAGTGAAGTTTTTGCTGTGACAGCAACAAAAAAAATGCAGATTTAGAGAGCAGAGGATGTAAAAAGGAATTTTGTTGCTGGAAATGGTGAGCGAGGCTTTAGCAGATTAATCACCATTAAAGGAGGAAAAGAAGCTTCACAAAAGCTCCCCAAAAGTTGGAGACAAGAAAGCAGAAGTTTTCCTACCTGAGGATTAGAAACATTTGGAGTTTGGATCCCTCCAGCTTCCTCTCCACAGGTGGAGTTTGTTTCTAAAGGAAGGAAAGAGCTGAGGAGTCAAACAAAGCTGTTTGTTCAGTGTGAACAACCAGCTCTGCCCCAGGGAACACAGAAAACTCTGGGAACAGGAGCTTCCAGAGGGCTCCAGGGAAGGGGCAGCAAGTCCCAAACTCCAGCAAGGATTAAATTTAATCTGAAATTCAACCATTTCCTGTCCCAAACTCCAACAAGGATTAAATTTAATCTTAAATTCAGCCATTTCCTATCTCAAACTCCAGCAAATATTAAATTTTATCTTAAATTCAACCATTTCCTATCCCAGCTTCCAGCCACAGGTGCCAAGTTTACACACAGGACCTCTGGAAAGCCGGGATTGATTCCCAGCTCCTTCCCACACTGCCCTGCCAGAGGCTCATCTACAGTGGGATTTGATCCCAAGATTCCCTGCCAGTGCCAGCAGCTGGAACAGGAACAGCCCCCAGGGAGGAACAGCCAGTTCCAGACATTTTTTGTTGCTGTTTCTAATTCCTGCTGCCTTTTTCCCCCCCCCTTAGGATCCAGATAAAAGCCTGGAATGGTTAAGGAAGGCTGTGCATCAGCTGTGGAAACAACACCAGGATTTCAGGCTTTCCCTGGGCCTCACAGTCCCCACAAATAAAACATTTACCAACTCCCTCAGACAAAAAGCTGCATTTTGGGATAGTTTGGGAACTTTGATGGCTTTCTAAAAGCAGCTGGATGTGGTTGTTCCAGTTCTGCAGCAAGATAACAATCCTGAGCTCCACGTGCTGCTTGCCCCACACTTCCATGGTGATTTGGGAACAGCCTGGAAATGGGAGCTGCTTTGGCAAAGCTGCACCAAAAAAAACCCCCAAACCCCAAAGGCAACATTTGAAATCCTTTCTGCAAAGGAGCTCCAGGGGTGTCGGGGTGTCTTGGAGAGACTTCTCCAGGAGGAGCAGATCAACCAGCAGAAATTCCCTCTCCAGGGGGAAGAAAATAACGGAGGTTTGAAGAGAGACAACTGAGGGGTTTGTCCCAGGAAAAAGGCAACTCAGAGACTTGAAAAATCCCCTGAATGTTACCTTGAGCTTCTGAAACATCCTCGTGGTTCTCATCCCCCACTTTGGTGTCCGGGGCAGGATCCTCCTGGATTAGGAAACGGGGCTGTCAGGGCAGGCACAGAAGGAAGGAGGTTTCTCCTCAGACTTACTGGAAGGACTTGGGGTAGAACAAAGTGCAGTGAAATAAAGGATTGGGATGGGGAGGGAGAGGTTTCAGCCACCCCTCTGCTGCTCAGCACCTCGTGAGCAGTGACAGGCTGCAAAGTGGAGCAGGAAAAACAAGGCAAAAACGTCCTGAATTATTTATAAATATCATCCTGCTTAAACACACCTGGAAACAGAGGGGTTGTGTTAACACTGGTGAAACAATAACGGCTTTTTTTCTAGATGCTGCAGCACAAAAAACCTCAACCAGCTCCACAAAAACCTCTGTGCTCTTACATTCATGTCCTGGATCTCCTCTCCGGGCTGGAGGGACTCCTCCCTCTCCCCCTGCCCCAGGAAGCCTCTGTCCACGTGCTCCATGCGCTGTTTCTCCGTGGTGATCTTGAGCTTGAGCAGGTGGAAGGGGGTGGGCACCTCCCCCACGTTGAGGTGGGTGGGCTCCTCGTTGAACAGCAGCCCCTCGCACTTGGCCTCCCTGAAGCCCGGGGGTTGGTAATCGGGGGGTGTCACTGCAGGGGGGAGGGCAGGGAAGGGGGCACAATGAAACACAGCCTTGGAAAGGTGACAGGAAAACTCTGCACTCCTTTAAATAGAAGAAAAAAATGTGTGTGTGGGGAGGGCAGTGATCAATATTAAGCTTGGGGTAAGTGAAGCTCTTTTCTCTGCACTGAGCAGGCGAAGCTGTTTGAGAGAGGTTGGAGACATAAAACAGAGGCTCTGATCTGTCACGACAAGGAAATAACTGCTCTGAAAGCAGGGCCAGAGGTTTGGAGAGTCCCCAAACTAGAACTGGGCTGGCAAAGTGTGGGACAGCCCAAGGCACTGTGGGGAACCCCTGGGAGCACCCCAAGATCCCTGCTCCGAGGAAGGGGGGGCCAGGATTGTGCTCCTGCAGCGAGATCACCCCCCTTCCCCTCGGAGCCTGGGTGGGAAAAGGAGAAATAACGTCATTTCCCAGGTGGCAGGGAATGGGAATTTCCCACTGTTCCCGTGGGTTCTGGGGGAGCAGGGAAGGGGGCAGGGTACCCTCGTCGTAGTAGAGCAGCTTCATGGTGAGGCAGACGTCGCTGGGCAGCGGGCTCAGGTTCTGCATCAGCACGAAGATCTTGCCGATGAGCAGGATGCTGGCCTTCCTCGTGTCCAAACACGGGATGGGAGAGCCACAGGGATCCCTGCTGGGACACAAACTCCTGTGAGATCTCATGGATGAGCCACAGGGATCCCTGCTGGGACACAAACTCCTGTGAGATCTCATGGATGAGCCACAGGGATCCCTGCTGGGACACAAACTCATGTGAGATCTCATGGATGAGCAGGATGGATCCCTGCTGGGACACACAAAGCCATGTTTTCCGATTCACTGGAGGACCACAGGGTTCCCTGCTGGGACACACAGAGCCATGTGAGATGTCATGGAGGAGCAGGATGGATCCCTGCTGGGACACACAAAGCCATGTTAGATCTCATGGATGAGCAGGATGCTGGCCTTCCTCGTGTCCAAACACGGGATGGGAGAGCCACAGGGATCCCTGCTGGGACACAAACTCCTGTGAGATCTCATGGATGAGCCACAGGGATCCCTGCTGGGACACAAACTCCTGTGAGATCTCATGGATGAGCCACAGGGATCCCTGCTGGGACACAAACTCATGTGAGATCTCATGGATGAGCAGGATGGATCCCTGCTGGGACACACAAAGCCATGTCAGGCTGGGGTGCACAGTGAGGTGACTCCAGTGGGGAGAGATCCAGCTGGTAAAGAGGCTGGGAATGGGAGGGGAGAGAGAAAAGAGAGAGGGAAGGAAGAGAGAAGAAGGAGAGAAAGAGAGGAGAAAGAGAGAGAGGGACAGGAAGAGAAGAGAGGGGAAGGGAAGAGAGGGGAGGGGAGGGTTTTGCCCCCCAGAGGGGGCTGGAAAAGCAGGCAGGAAGATCCCGGGGCCGTACCTGCCGAAATCCAGGAGCGGCCCGTGGTGGGTGTACTTGAACTTGAAGTGGTAACACTCGGTGACCGTCTGCAAACAAAGGCACAGGTTGTTACACCCCCAGAGCACAGGGGTTGTTACACCCTCAGAGCACAGGGGTTGTTACACCCTCAGTGGTTGTTACACCCTCAGTGGTTGTTACACCCTCAGAGCACAGGGGTTGTTACACCCTCAGTGGTTGTTACACCCTCAGAGCACAGGGGTTGTTACACCCTCAGAGCACAGGGGTTGTTACACCCTCAGAGCACAGGGGTTGTTACACTCTCAGAGCACAGGGGTTGTTACACCCTCAGTGGTTGTTACACCCTCAGAGCACAGGGGTTGTTACACCCTCAGAGCACAGAGGTTGTTACACCCTCAGTGGTTGTTACACCCTCAGAGCACAGGGGTTGTTACACCCTCAGAGCACAGGGGTTGTTACACCCTCAGTGGTTGTTACACCCTCAGAGCAGAGGGGTTGTTACACCCTCAGAGCAGAGGGGTTGTTACACCCTCAGAGCACAGGGGTTGTTACACCCTCAGGGGTTGTTACACCCTCAGAGCACAGGGGTTGTTACACCCTCAGTGGTTGTTACACCCTCAGAGCACAGAGGTTGTTACACCCTCAGAGCACAGGGGTTGTTACACCCTCAGAGCACAGGGGTTGTTACACCCTCAGAGCAGAGGGGTTGTTACACCCTCAGAGCACAGGGGTTGTTACACCCTCAGTGGTTGTTACACCCTCAGAGCACAGGGGTTGTTACACCCTCAGTGGTTGTTACACCCTCAGAGCACAGGGGTTGTTACACCCTCAGAGCACAGGGGTTGTTACACCCTCAGTGGTTGTTACACCCTCAGAGCAGAGGGGTTGTTACACCCTCAGAGCACAGGGGTTGTTACACCCTCAGAGCAGAGGGGTTGTTACACCCTCAGAGCACAGGGGTTGTTACACCCCCAGAGCACAGGGGCTGTTACACCCTCAGTGGTTGTTACTCCCTCAGAGCACAGTGGTTGTTATACCCTCAGAGCAGAGGGGTTGTTACACCCTCAGAGCACAGGGGTTGTTACACCCTCAGTGGTTGTTACACCCTCAGAGCACAGGGGTTGTTACACCCTCAGAGCACAGGGGTTGTTACACCCTCAGAGCACAGGGGTTGTTACACCCTCAGAGCACAGCCCTGCTGCTCTGGCTGTAATCTCTCTCTAGATGGGAAATATATCTGTGTTTATATAATAAAAGCCAATCAAAATGGTGATTTTTTTCCAGGAATTGCCCTGATAAAATACCCTGAAATGTCAGCTGGAGTTTTTGGCCTGAAATATTCTGATTTTCGGTGGCCCTGGGAATGTTCCAGAGCCCGGGACAGACGTGCTGACCCCCGGGGGGGTTGTGTTCTCCACAGAAATTCCAGGGATTCCTCAGGCACAGGTAGGACGAGGCCCTTTCACTCTGCAGTGGCACTTGAACCACCAAGTGGCTTCTTGTGCCACCCTGACCCTCAACCCCCGGGGGCAATTCCAGAGCTGGCAGCTCCCACTGGCTCCAGGGATTTGGAGATTCGGATATTTCAGTTGGATATTTGAACGTGCCCTTTTTTTCTAAAGATGTGGAAAAGCATTAAAATCGACCAGATGGGTCCGTGGGGGGGGAAAGGGGAGGTGAGAAATGGGAATTTCTGCTCTGGGACAAAAACATCAACTTTAATATGATCCTTCTCAGACAAGTCTGAATTATTTAATTATTATTTAATAAATAAATATATTTGTATAGTTAATATTTATTTAATATCTATTTTAATTATTTAAATAGTTATTTAATATTATATATTAAATTAATATTATATTATATATTTATTTATATATTAAATAAATATATATTTAATATGATATGTTAAACATATAAAATATCATATTATAATATATATTATTTTTAATATATAGTATAATACTTTACATAATAGATAAAAAGTCTATATTAAATGCTTAATTAATTAAATATAATTTAAATAAATACTTATTAATTTAATATAATTTTTATTTTCTTCAATTTATTATTTATTATTTATTATTTATTATTTATTATTTATTTATTATTTAATTATTATTTAATATTTAATACACAAATTTTTCTATTATATATTTTATTTAATTTAATTATTTTTATTTATTTATTATTTAATATATAAATTTATTCATTATTTAATTATAATTTTTATTTAGTTTATTTAATTTTATTTAATGGTATAAATATGTATATTCTAATATATAAATATATATTTATTTACTATATTATTATATTATTTATTAATTTAATTTATTTATTTAATATATAAATTATATAGTTTAATTATTTAATATATGAATATATATTATTCAAAACATAAATATATATGTATTCAATATATTATTATATTATTCATTTATTTAATTAATTTATTTAATATATAAATTATATAGTTTAATTATTTAACAAATATACATTATTTACTATATAAATATATATGTATTCAATATATTATTTTATCATTCATTTATTCAATTAATTTATTTAATCTATAAATTATATAGTTTAATTATTTAACAAATATACATTATTTACTATACAAATATATTTCTTTACTATATTATGATATTAATATGTTAAATATGTTAAATATCCCTGCTTGTACACCCACTTTACTCCATCCATCCCATCATTAGTCCCCCAATTAAACATTCCAGCTGCTTTACCTGAGGATCCTCTGGCTGGGTATAGACCTGCAGTTTGGAAGGGGAGAGAGGAATCAGAACAAGAACTCTTAAAAAAAAAAAATTCAGGGTAAGGACCTTAAAACTGTGTCCTTTGCTTGTCAGGGATACTCACTGCGAGCACGATCTGCCTGAGCTGCCCGAGGCATGAACAGAGAGAAACCGAGATTAGATGGGTTTAGAGCCCCTTCCTCCTCACAGAGACACTTCTTCCTCTTCTCTTTAAGAGGGGACCCCAAACACCTCCAAATCTTCTGTTTAGGAGGAATTTTATCCTGGAATCCCCGTGCCTCCCACACTGCCCAGAGTCCTGGCAACTGATGGGCTTCAGCCAACCCTCCCACACCCTCGGAGTGAGGCTGCGAGACTCACGTATTTCTTCTGCAAGGCATCGTAGCACCCCAGCATCCTGCAACACAGCAACAAAGTCACTCATTTCCATTTGCTTCTGGCTGAAACAGCAGCAAAAAGTGCAATTCTTGTGTTTCCTTCTTGTGTTGGGGCAATAAATGGCATTTCTGGCGTTATTCTGCCTTCTTTGTTAGCAGTGGTACAAGCAAGGACTACCTTTGTAGGGTCAAATCTTCCCAACCAAATCCTCCCTTTAATCAGTCTCTCGGGAGAATAATTAAAAATATAATCTGTCAGTAATTAATTTGTCAGTGAAAACACGTTGCAGTACTTCAAACAGCTTCTAACATGTGTTCATTAATCAGGTGAGCAACTCGGCTCAGTGGAAGGTGCCCCTTCCCAGGGGTGGGAATGGGATGAGTTTGAAGGTCCCTTCCAACCCAAAGCATCCCGTGATTCCATCATAAACCAGGAGCTCAGCCAAACATCTCTGGAGCACAGAGGAGTTCAGTGATTGCCCTTTGCCATTTGCCTTTTCTGGAACAGCCAAGCAACAGGCAAAGGGGGAGCCCAAACGTACCATTTCACCAGCTGGCTGGAGCCAGGGCAGTTCTTGTCTTCCCTCAGGATTTTGACACAGACATCTCAAAAAAAAAAAAAATTAAAAAAAAAGCACATTTACTTAGGGCAAAATGCAATTTAAAAAGTCATGTTCACTCCTTAAAAACACACATCAAAATGAGGCTAAAATTAACATTACTGTTGAGCATGAGCACAGTTTTGATTGTTAGAGCACCGGCACTAACAAAATTCAGTTTAATGAATTAGTGAAGTTTCCATTGCAGGCATTGAAATGGTTTTAAAATGGCTCTAAAAACACACAGAATTTGCAAGTTCTCCCAGAAACAGCCTGTTACCATCCATGTATCTCGTTCCATAGGCGCTCTCAGGGAAGATTCCTCTCAGGTACGTGATGCAGGACACGGCCACTGCCAGGAGCCTCTTCACCAGCATCAGGGACTGCTGCTCCGTGGCGATTTTTTTAGGGAATACAACTGCACTCTGGAAAATCAGAGGAAGAAATCAATCAATCAATTGAGCTGTATCCACAGCACCAAACCTGTCCAATGCCTTAATTTTAACTTAATTGAGAAGTCTGACTTTCATGGCTTATAAAGTATGTTCCTGACACTTGGTGTCATCGAGTTTTTAGGACACAGCTGGTTTTTACCAAGTGCACGACAACAAAACTCAGATTATTTTTCTATTAAGCATCTTTATTCTTAGTTAAAAGAACCCAATTAGCCCGAAATTTTCAAGTGAAGAACTATCTCCTGGGTGCACTATTTCAGCCAAAATTCCCCCCATTTTTCCCATGAAAGAACAGACTGTGCCCAAAAAACCACAGCACAACCGTACCGTGCAATTCCTTTGCTTCTGAGCAGTTGCCATTTTGCAGAGACTCTTCTGCCTGTGAATTAAACACCTGCATTAACACCTGGATGCAGCTTCCACAGGGCATTCCCTGGGTCTCCTGCACAACTCACCGGCTCAAACCAACCTGGAACTGTCAGCAAACAGAGCGGGACAGTTTGTCTGAAAACCCCCAGCATCAGATCCTTGATTCCCACAGCAGCATAGGCCTCCCCCGAGGCTGCAGGACGCAGTAATTAGAATATTTAGATCTGTATTTCTATGAAATACGAGCTTCCAAAGGAAATGCTCCTCAGTGCTAACTGGCACCCAGCCCACTGGGATTTTCAGAGGGCTTTAAGAAAAGGCTCCCCACATTTCAAACACCCCCGGGCTTGGGTCGTTTTATTCTGTGATTTAAATGAGTGCGGGAGAAAGGGAACCCTCAGCACCCCTGAGCCTGACTCCGCACGAGTCTGGGAAATGAAAGGCATCCACACCCCAGGCTGTGGAAAGTGTGTGTCCCGAGGAAGGGGTTGGCTCTGGGCAGTGCAGGGAACGGAGGTGCCCCTCAGCAAGGAGCCCACAAACCCCCCCGAGCACGGCAGGGCTGTGCTCCTCCAGGTATAAGGAGGCAAAGCGAGGAGGAAGGGAAGAGTAGGGTGTGGTGAGGGTGAGGGGAGAGTGAGGGCAAGGTGAGGGTGAGGGGAGCTGAGCTGAGCGTGGGGGGAGAGATGCTGAGGGCAGAGGAGCTGAGGGCAAGGGGCTGCTGAGGGCTGAGGGTGAGGAGCTGAGGGTGAGGGGCTGAGGGTGAAGGGCTGCTAAGGGTGAGGGGCTGCTAAGGGTGAGGGGCTGTGGAGGATGAGGAGCTGAGCGTGGGGGGAGAGATGCTGAGGGCAGAGGAGCTGAGGGCAAGGGGCTGCTGAGGGCTGAGGGTGAGGAGCTGTGGGTGAAGGGCTGCTGAGGGTGAGGGGCTGAGGGTGAAGGGCTGCTGAGGGCCAGGGGCTGAAGGCAGGGATGCTGAGGGCAGGAGCTTCTGAGGGCAGGGGCTGTGGAGGATGAGGAGCTGAGGGCCACGACCTGAGGGCGATGGGCTGCTGAGGGCAAAGAGCTGAAGGTAAGGATGCTGAGGGCGAGGAGCTGAAAGCAGGGACTGCTGAGGGCAGGAGGTGCTGAGGGCGAGGAGCTGCTGAGGGCAAGGAGCTGCGGGCAGGGGCTGCTGAGGGCAGGGGCTGCTGAAGGTGAGGAGCTGAGGGCAGGGACTGCTGAGGGCAGGGACTGCTGAGGGCAGGGACTGCTGAGGGCAGGGACTGCTGAGGGCAAGAACTGCTGAGGGCAGGGACTGCTGAGGGCAGGGACTGCTGAGGGCAAGAACTGCTGAGGGCAGGGACTGCTGAGGGCAGGGACTGCTGAGGGCAGGGGCTGCTGAGGGCAGGGACTGCTGAAGGCAAGGACACCCGACCCGGGCACTGCAGAACGGCCCGCCCTCACCCTCAAGCAGCGCCGAGCGACTTTCCTCGGCCTCTCCCCGCCTCGTCCCTCAGGCCCGGCCGGGCGCCTTTTCCCGCCCTGTCCCTCACGGGGGCTCCGGGCGGGGCCGTGCGCAAACCCCGCGGGAGGGGCGGGGAGGGGGAGAGTTCCCTCAGCTCCCGCCCGTGAGGGAATCGTGGAATATCCTGAGGGAAGGGAACCACGGGGATCATCCAAATCCAACCCCTGGCCCTGCACAGACACCCCAACAATCCCACCTCGTCCCTCAGGGCGTTGTCCCAACACCCCTTGAGCTCTGGCAGCCTTGGGGCCGTGCCCACTGCCCTGGGGGGCCTGTTCGGTGCCAACCACCCTCTGGGGGAAGGACCTTTTCCTAACATCCCCCTAACCCTGACAGAGCTCCAGCTGCTCCCTTGGGTCCTGTCACTGCCCTCGTGAGGAGGCTCCAGACCCCCGAGTTCCCCCTCAGCCCGTTCCACGGGCTCCAGGTGCTGCCTCTTCTCTCCGGGGGTCCCGGGGCAGCAGCGACCCCCTAAATCCATAAAACCACCAAAGGCAAAGGATGAAAAAGGCTCGAGTCACTTTTGGGGCAGCAGCTAATTGCTAATTGTGGGCACACAGCGTTCGATCTTTGCTTTGGAAAGCTGGGACAAGCTTTTGTCGCGTGTAAGGCACAGGTTGCCCAGAGAAGCTGTGGCTGCCCCTGGATCCCTGGAGGTGTCCAAGGTCAGCTTGGAGCAGCCTGGAATAGCAGAAGGCGTCCCTGCCCATGGCACGAGGGTGCGACTGGGTGAGTTTTAAGGTCCCTTCCGATCTAAACCAGTCTGGTTTAGAGAATCCTGAGGGGCTCACAAGGATCACAGAGTGCAACCCCTGGCCCTGCACAGACACCCCAACAATCCCACCCCGTCCCTCGGAGCATTGTCCAAACCCTCCTGGAGCACTGGCAGCCTTGGGGCCGTGCCCGCTGCCCTGGGGGGCCTGGTCAGTGCCCAACCACCCTCTGGGGGAAGAACCTTTTGCTGAGATCCAACCTAAACCTCCTCACAGCTCCTAAACCTCCTAAACCGCAGCTCCAGCTGCTGCCTCGGGCCCCGGCCCCGCTCACACAGAGCAGAGGTTGGAGCTGCAGCCCCCGAGGTCTCCCCTCAGCCTCCTCCAGCCGAACAAGCCAAGTGCCCCTCCAGACCCTTCGGAGCTGGATCCTGTCCTGGTTTCAGCTGGGAACCAGTTAATTCCTGCCCAGGAGCTGTTCCAGTGCTGTGTTTGGGATTTGGGAGGAGAACAGGGTCGATAACACATGGATGGTTTGGGTTTTGGCTCAGTCGTGTTTGTCCCAAGTCAAGGACTCTTTTGTTTTTTGTCTCCTGCTCTGGCAGAGCTGGGAGGGAGCAGAGCTGGGACAGGTGACCTGAACTATCCAAAGGGATATTCCACACCACAGACCACCATTCCCAGGCCACAAACTGGGGGGAGTCACCTGGGAGGGGCCGATCTGGATTTGGGAGGGGGGGTTTGACATCGGTCTGGGGGTGGTGAGCAATTGCATCGTGCATCAATTAGTTTCTTTCCCCTCTTATTATCATTATTATTATTATTTACCATTATTACTGTATTTTACTCTATTTTCGATTACTAGACTCTTTTGGTCTCAACATACAAGGTTTACTTTTATTCTCCTCCCCATCCCAGCAGGGAGGAGGGAGGGGCAGAGGGGGGTTGAGTGAGCTGCTGAGTGGAGCTTAATCTCCAGCTGGGCTTAAACCCACAAAACCCATCCCCGTGGCCCTCCTTTGCATGCTCTCTGGCAGCTTAATATCTTTTTTATATTGTGGTGCCCAAAACTGCCCCCAGAACTGGAGGTGAGGCCACACCAGTGCAGAGCATTTTCCTAAACTGAAGCCTAAACCTGTAACTTCCTTTTGACCCAGCTGAAGTTTGGAAGGAGATGGGCAGTGTCCTCTTCTCACCGGGGTGATTCACAAGCGTGGAGTGTCTGATATGGAGGCATTTTCATCGCTGTTTGCTAAAAACAAATCACCCACAGACTGTCACAAACAAGGTCATTTCATACCCTTTAAATCAACCCCCAAAATTCATTAAAAAAAAATCACAGAATCATAGAATGGGTTGGGAGGAGACCTTGAAGACCATCATGTTCCAGCCCCCTGCCACGGGCAGGGACACATCCCACTGTCCCAGGTTGCTCAAGGATTTACATCCAACCTGGCTTTGAACACTTCCAGGGTTGGGGCATCCACAACCTCCCTGGGCAACCTGTTCCAGGGCTTCACCACCCTCCCAGTAAAGATTTTTTCCTAATATCTAATCTAAATTTTTTCCTGATATCTAATCCAAACCTACTCTCTTTCAATTTGAACCCAGCCCCCCTTGTCCTGTCGCTCCAGACTCTTGGAAATGGTCCCTCTCCATCTTTCCTGGAGGCTCCTTCAGGTCCTGGAAGGCCACAGTCGGGTCACCCCAGAGCCTTCCCTTCTCCAGGCTGAACAATCCCAGTTCTCCCAGCCTCAACCCCAACTCTCTCTCCAGCAAACCCTTGGGGAAGGTGTGTCCAGGTCTCTTCCAGGTGAAGGCAAATAAAGGTTGACTTTCTTCAGCTTCCCCCATGGAGACGGGCTGGGAGAGCTGGGAATGTTCAGCTGGAGAAGAGAAGGTTGTGTGGAGACCTCAGGGCACCTTCCAGGGTCTGAGGGGGCTCCAGGGAAGCTGGAGAGGGACTGTCCATCAGGAACCGGGGTGACAGGACAAGGGGAGTGGGTACCAATGCAAAGAGAGGAGGTTCAGATTGGGAAAAACCCCTCCCTGTGAGGGTGGGGAGGGACTGGAAGAGATTTCCCAAGAAGCTGTGGCTGCCCCATCCCTGGAAGTGTCCAAGGCCGGGTTGGGCAGGGCTTGGAGCACCCTGGGACAGTGGGAGGTGTCCCTGCCCATGGCAGGGGGTTAGAACTGGATGGGCTTCAAGGTCCCTTCCAACCCAAACCATTCCGGGATTCCCTGGTTTTTTCCTGAATATCGGGGGTTGATTCCAAGGGTACGGAATTGCCACGTTTGTGCAGCACAATAGAAGGTTTGTTATTAACAGGCAGTGATGAAAATGCTTTTATATTGGACACTGCACGTTTGTCATCGGCCTGATGTCACAGAAACGCTGAAAAATAAAACTCTAACGCTGTAATTTCAGTATTAAAAAGAGGAATTCTTTATTTCAGTGCAAATAAAGAAATAATGTGAGAAAGCAGCCCCCCCCAGCTATCTCACATATTCATTTATATCTATGTAACTAATACATACTCATCCTATTTCCCAAACCCCACATTGCTAAATATTGCCCTGAATTATTTTTCATATTCAAATCACTTCTCAGAGCTCATTTACATCAGAGTAGGGGGCTTTTGAGGGTCTCTGGGGGTCGTTTGGGGAACATCCCACTCCTCAAATTATCTTTTTATGGTCACGAGCCTCCTAAAACCAGTTTCTTGTCCCTGAATGGATCCCAGCTGTGTGCTCTGGCCAAGATAAACCTTCTTATCAGGCCCCCAGTCTTTATTTTCAAGGCTCAGACGTCCCCTTGCACACATTTACCACTGACACGGGTGAAAAGAGCCCTGTCTGGGAAAGATGAAGGTGTTCCCAAATACTCCCAAATTGTTGGGATAAACAAAACCCTCTAACACTGTTTTATTTCTTTTTAGAAAGCAAAGCATGACTTTATTTGTGGCCAGAGATGTTTGTGACACTCTCAGAGTCCAGCCCACGCAGACCTTGAGATGTAATTTTTCTACCTATTTACACATTTTCAGCAAACGAAGAAATTAATGTTCACTGGTTCTTAATCACAGAATTCCTTTAATTAGTTAGTATTCCACCTCCTCCTGGCCATTAATTGGTGACAACTGGCCTTTTCTGATAATTAGTTCATATCTTTAGTCTTCTTCGTAGCTTTTTGTCTCAGAAGGGACTTCCCATGGCACGTGTTGAGTCTTCGTTGGCCTTCTCCTTTCTCTGCTGATTTCTGCCCAAAGTCCTTCCCAAATCCCGGTTCCAGATGTCCAGGTTCAACCACACACCTTCCCAAATCCGGGTTCCAGATGTCCGGGTTCAACCACACACCTTCCCAAATCCCGGTTCCAGATATCCAGGTTCAACCACACACCTTCCCAAATCCGGGTTCCAGATGTCCAGGTTCAACCACACACCTTCCCAAATCCGGGTTCCAGATGTCCGGGTTCAACCACACACCTTCCCAAATCCCGGTTCCAGATGTCCGGGTTCAACCACACACCTTCCCAAATCCAGGTTCCAGATGTCCGGGTTCAACCACACACCTTCCCAAATCCCGGTTCCAGATGTCCGGGTTCAACCACACACCTTCCCAAATCCGGGTTCCAGATATCCGGGTTCAACCACACACCTTCCCCTCCCTCATCTCCGTTCCTCGAAGCAGACCAAGGTTCATTTTTAACCAAACTCCCGGGTTTTGGTGCTTTTCCCAAGCTGGTTTCCCACAGAAGGAGCTTGCAACAACCTTTTGCTAAAAAAAAAAAAAGTGATTTAAGGCCCAACACGGCATCTCTGAGTAATTCAAATAACTAATCAACAGGTTAATTAAAGCTGTTAGGAATTGCCAAGGCTCAGCACCATTGGTTGCAGTTGAAGAGGGAACACCGGGCATCTCCACCCAAACTTCAGCTGGGGCAAAAGGAAGGGAAGGATTCCCGAAAGTTTTGGGAAAATGGCCATGGATAATAGATCTGGGAATAACAGAGAGGGAGCTGGGACTGGGTGATGTTTAAGGAACATTCCAACCCCTTTGCTGCCCACAAAAATTGGATTTTTTTTCCCAATTTAAGCCAATAGTTATGACTCAAGAGAGACATGGATTATTATTAGTTATTAATGATTATTTATTTATTATCGCTAATTTATTTATTGTTGATTATTTATTTTGTGAGTTGGCTTTTGTGGGATTCCACAAACCCAGCACCCCAAGCATCAAAACTTTTCACATTTCTACATTTTAGCAAACACAGGAATTAGTGTTCCCTGGCTTTGTGAGTCCGTGATTCCGTGAGTCCGTGATCCCATGATCCCATGACTCCGTGATTTTACGATTCTGTGATTCTATGATGGAATGATTTTGTGATTCTGTAATTCCATGATCCTGTGATTCCAGGATCCTGTGATTCCATTATTGTGTGATTCCCTGCTTCCATGATTCCATGGTTCCATGATTCCATGATTCTGATTCCACGATTCTGTGATTCTGTGATTCTATTTTCCCATGATTCTGTAATTCCATGACTCTGTGATTCCATGACTCTGTGATTCCGTGATTCTGTGTTCCATGATCCCATGATTGGGTGATTCCATGATTCCATGATTCTGTGATTCCATCATTCTATGATTCCATGACTCTGTGATTCCACGATTCCAAGATTCTGTGGTCCCACGATTCTGTGATTCAGTTATGCCGTGATTCTGTGATTCTCTGACTCCATTATTCCGTGATTCCATGATTCCATGGTTCCAGGACTCTGTGACTCCATGATTCTGAGATTCCATGATTCTATGATTCCATGACTCTGTGACTCCATGATTCTGTGATTCCATGATTCTGTGATTCCATGACTCTGTGACTCCATGATTCTGTGATTCCATGACTCCGTGACTCCATGATTCTGTGTTTCCATGATTTTACGATTCTATGGTTCTATAACTCCATGATCCTATGATTCCATGATTTTATGATCCTGTGATTGCACAATTCTGTGGTTCTGTGATTCCAGGATTCTGTGGTTCCACAATTCTGTGATTCCATGATTCCGTGATTCTGTTATGCCATGATTCTATGATTCCATGATTCTATGATTCAATGAGCCTATAATTCCATGATTCCCTGATTCAATGAGCCTGTAATTCCATGATTTTATGATTCTGTGATTCCGTGATTCAGTGATCCTATAATTCCATGATCCTATGATTCCATGATTCTGTGATTCCATGACTCTGTAATTCCATGATTCTATGATTCCATGATCCTATGATTCCAGGATTCTATGATTCCATGATTCTATGATTCCATGATTCTATGATTCCATGAATCTATAATTCCATGATTCTATGATTCCATGATTCTATGATTCCATGATCCTATGATTCCATGAATCTATAATTCCATGATTCTATAATTCCATGATTCTATGATTCCATGATCCTATGATTCCATGAATCTATAATTCCATGATTCTAAAATTCCACAATTCTATAATTCCACAATTCTATAATTCCACAACCTTATGATTCCATGATTCTGACTCCATGTTTCCACAATCCTACAATTCCCCGATCCTAGGATTTTACGGTTCTATAATTCCATGATCCTGTGATTCCAGGATTCTATTGCGCCATTCCCCTGCGATTCCAGGATCCCATCATTCCGTGACTCCCCGATTCAGCCACCCCCCGACCCCCCGCTCCTACAATTCCATCATCCCCCGACCCCCCGCTCCTACAATTCCATCATCCCCCGACCCCTGCTCCTACAATTCCATCATCCCCCGACCCCCCGCTCCCGCTCCCTCTCCCCGGCCCCTCCCGGCCCCCTCGGTCTCCATGGCAACACCCGGAAGCGCCCGCCCATCTCCCTGGCATCACCCGGAAGTTCCCCGCCCATCTCCATGGCAACGGCCGGAAGTGCCCGGCGGTCTCCCTGGTGACGCCGGAAGCGGCGGCGCGGGGCGGGCTCTGGCGGCAGTGACGCTGAGGGCGCCATGTCGGCCATGTCTGCGGGCGGCGGAGCGCAGCGGGACGCGGGGGCCGCGGGCGGGTGAGGCACGGCCGGGCGGGCTGGGGCGGCCCCGCCGCCGCCGCGGGGGCACCGCCTCACCCTCCTCTCCTCTTTTCCAGGCGCCGCAGCAAGTGGGACCAGCCCGGCCCGGCTCCCACCTTCCTGCTGCCCGGCACGGCGCCGCTGCCCGGGCGGCCGTTCGCCGGCGGGGGCGGCGATGGCGGCGCCGCCGTGGCCGGTTCCGAGGGCTCCGCGGCGCCCTCGGGAGCGCTGGATGCGGCCGCGGCCGTGGCGGCGAAGATCAACGCCATGCTGATGGCCAAGGGGAAGCTGAAGCCGGCGCCCAGCACGGCCGACAAGGTGGGGGGGGCCGGGGGGGCCTCACGGGCGGGCTCCGGAGACCGTCGTTTGTCGGGAAACGGTGGAGTCGGGGGCGACAAAATCACTCGGGAAACACGCTTTTAATTTTTTTCTTCGGCTGTGGGGTCAGGCCTTGTGAGGCTTTAGGAAGCCGCCTCTGGGGAGATAAAGTTTTTCCCCGGGATGACGGAATGTTGTGGGCTGGAAGCTGGAAGGGACCCCGCGAGGATCGTCCAGCCCCGCTCTTAGAGAGTTTTTCCTGGAGGGTTTTCCAGGTAGCAGAGCTGATGGAAAAGCCTGATTTGGGTTGGAAAAGGGCCTTAAAGCTCATCCAGGGATACTTTCCGCTAGCCCAGGTTGCTCCAGGGTGGCCTCGGACACTTCCAGGGATCCAGGGGCAGCCACAGCTTCTCTGGGAATTCCATCCCAGCCCCTCCCCACCTCACAAGGAGGAATTCCTTCCCAGTATCTCACCTGGCAGTTTAAAACCGTCCCCCCTTGCCCTGTATAAAAAGTCCCTCTGGCTCTGTTGTTTTTTTTAAAGTCTCCTTTGGGCACTGGAAGTAAAATCTGGCACTTTGAGACCTTGAAAACTTGGCAGGTGCTGCTGCCTCAAATCTTCCACCTCTTTTTGTCCCGAGCTCTGGTGACACCCCGTGCTGAGGGAACCACTTAACCAAGGAATTAACCTGCATTTGGGATTGGCAGTTTTGCTGCACATTGGCTTTATTATTTAATACAGTAAAAACATATATAATTATAACATGCATATGGTTTTATTGCACACGTTGCTGTCGGTAGGAAATGCTCAGTGATGGCATTTCCCAGAGTGATTAAACTCTGGTGACACTTCAGGTTGGGAGGGGGTGGAAATTAAGGAGCTGCAGATTAATGAATGTAGGTTTTCTTAATAAAAAAGTGGAAGGAGTGGAGCAATTTAATGTCTGTACAATTTAATGTCTGTGCAGTGCACTGGAGTCCCTCCACAGCTGCCCTGTGGCTCTTTTTTAAGTGCTGTGCCTTCCTGTGATATTTGCTGAGTGGTTGGGGGTTACTGGAAAATTCTCTTTTTTTTTTAAATAGAGTCTTGGTTGATGTTTGTAACCCCCCCAAATCCATTCCAGAGCATTTAGAAGGCTGTACTCACTCCACACGTTGAAAAAAAAGCTCCCAGGTCTTTGTGGTAACCCCCAACTCTTCCTAAATCTGAGATTCTTTGGCTTTTTATTTCTTAGAATGTCGATACTGACACAAAATATTACGTTTTTAAAAAGGGGGGGAGTGTGGATGAGTTCAGATCCTGAGCAGAAACTCTAAATTCTCTCTGTGTTTAAAGGCAGTTGAGGTAAGAAGGAGCTGGAAACATGAACTTCATGGTTCTTTAGTCTCAGGTCTCTCTCAGAGCTGCCAGTCCAAGTGGGAGATGCCCTGGTTGCTGTTCAGCAGCTCCCCAGCTCAGTTCTGCATCTGTCCCTCCCCTTCCAGAGCAGGAGCATGAATCATTCTGTTCAGATGTGCTGCAGATGACGTGTCTTTGTTTGGGCTCAGGGTTGTGAGGAGGCAGACTGAGCAGACACCGCGTGGTTTCTGTTCACATCTGTGAAGATTTGGGGTTCAGCGCCTGGAAAGGGGGAGCGAGGAGGACGTTGGGAGAGGGCCAAACGAGGAGGACCTTGGCCCTCCCGAGCCCTGGGGCCGGTCTCTTCCTTGCCCCGTGGCTTTCCAACCCTGGGAATGTTCTCTGTTGAAGCTGCAGGCTCTGGGGAAAGGCCCAGCCGCCAGCAAGAGCAAGGATGACCTGGTGGTGGCCGAGGTGGAGATCAACGACGTGCCCCTCACCTGCAGGAACCTGCTGACCCGGGGCCAGACCCAGGACGAGGTAGGAGCGCCCCGGCAGCACTGCTGGGGCTGAAGTTACGTGACATCTTTACCTTCTGAACCCATAAAATGAACCCAGAGTCAGGTTTGACCTGTGGGGTGGAAGGAACCTGCAGCAGGTTCTGTTCTGTCGTTGTTCCGCTGTGTTTTCGGAGACACCCAGGAGGTGGTTTGGTGAGGTCAGAGCTGCTCTCCCACCCCTTCACTGAGGGCTTTGGGCTTTTAATCAGCAGCCCAGGCTGAATGTGGGTGTTTGGTGGGTGCTCTGTTGATGGTTGGTCACAGATCCCCGGGTTTCCATCTCCTTGCAGATCAGTCGCCTGAGCGGAGCCGCCGTGTCCACCCGGGGCAGGTTCATGACTGCAGAGGAGAAAGCAAAAGTGGGACCTGGGTTTGTAGCTCTTTTCTTTGGGGTTCTGATTTTTATTCTCCTTGGGAGGGAAATTGCTGAGGCTCCTGTTTGGTTTGTCCTCCATGAGCAGTTTTGCTCATCATTTGCCACAAATAATAATGTCACAATTCATATTTTTGCCACAATTCATATTTTTGCCACAAATAATAATTTGCCATAATTCATATTTTGTCATAATTCATCATTTGCCACAAATAATGTCATAATTCATAATTTGCCACAATTTGTAATTTGCCATTTTTCATATTTTGCCACAATTCATAATTTGCCACAATTCATAATTTGCCACAATTCATATTTTTGCCACAATTCATATTTTTGCCACAATTCATAATTTGCCACAATTCATAATTTGCCACAATTCATATTTTTGCCACAATTCATATTTTTGCCACAATTCATATTTTTACCACAAATAATAATTTACCACGATTCATAATTTGCCACAATTCATATTTTGTCATAATTCATCATTTCCACAAATAATGTCATAATTCATCATTTACCACAATTTTTAATTTGCCATTTTTCATATTTTGCCATTTTTCATAATTCATCACTTTTCATAAGTTGCCACAATTCATAATTTGCCTTTTTTCATAATTTACATTTTTTCATAATTTTAGGCAATTCATAATTTGCCATAAATCATGTTTTTCCCCAATTCTTGTTTTTCTACAATTCATAATTTTCCTTTCTTCATAACTTTCCATTTTTCATATTTTGCAATAATCCATTATTTTCCACAGTTCATATTTTGCCATTTTTCATATTTTGCCATTTTTCATAATTTGCCACTTTTCACAATTTGTCATAATTCATA